GGAGCACCTGGCACCAGCAAGAATTATAGAAGACGGAATGGTCCTACTATCAAAAGTGATCTTCACAACTCGAAGAGGCTGATGACGATGACCACGAGAGGGTCGAGTGAACGTGTCCACCTGGAGGACAGAATGGCTTTGGGCTTCAATGATATGTTTAATATCCTCGTGTCAGTCTTTCAGGTCCCTAACACCAGTCGCAACATGGTGCGAGAGGATAACAGTGCCAACACTGGCATTTAACCAGGCATTTTTAGGGACCCTAACAGGGATCTCTAAAAATGCTGGACAATGCGGCTAAGTGGGCAGCTGCTTAGCAGCAACAACACGTGTACCAGTACAGGTGGGGTTAAAACTAACAGAGGCATCCACCGAATCAATGAGGTGTTTATGGAGGGAGAAATCGTCAGGATGTGTAGAATCCAGATGGTTGAGATCAAAGTATTTAGTCCATGCAGCTGGACCAAACAAGGTGTGGTATGTATTAACACGGGAAGAAATCGAGTGAGTGCGTTTGTTGGGGGGGGGGCGGCGCTGAGCACTCCCAGTGAGAGGAGGGGGGGGGGTTAAAAGGCACAGTAGTCACAGTGAGAGAAGTAGTTGCACCAGGTGATGAGGTGGTCACCACCGGGGGCATGGGATTCAACCCTACCACAGAGGAGGAAAGGGAGCAGAGGGGGAAGGGTAGTCGGAAGGGTCAAAGGAGGAACTTGATCTGGGCCCAATGTGGCGAGGGCTACAGAGCCCGGTCTTCTAACACAGTCTAACACAGGGGCCTGGTCGCTCACCCCACGAACCTGCGCAAGAGAGGTCGATTCAGTTTTCAAATATCATCAATTCTAAAAGTCTGGGGCCTTGAACCAAGGGATACCACCTACCGGGGCAGCCAGGGAGATCGAGCTCGGGCCAACACAGGAAGGAGAGTGTCGTTCCCAGCAGTGCTCTCCCTATTTAACAGAGGAGTCCTATTGCCTCGTCCATTCTTCCACACTGGTGCAAAGGCCCCATTCTCCCTTTTGCCTTAGCCTGGACACCCATCCATCCACTTAGGGCAGCCCCTCACTGTTGACCCCTCCAGCGGGTGGTCCGGTGACTCACAAGGACCCTATAATGGTGTCCTTTTGCATCTACACCACCCAAAGAGGCGCAGGAGGGGAGGGCAAAGGCATCCCTTACCAGTCCCAGGGAGGTGTACGTGAGCCCCTCACCACGACAAGGCGACACCACGGAGGGGAAACATGCACAATGTGCCAATATATAATAATATTAATTTATATTTCAGAAAATTACTATTTTTATTGAACAGCAAGTTAAAATTGATGAATGCATCTGTGGGGTCGACTGCTAGATGGAATTGGCTTGGTCTGAGGACACGATGCTGGACGATGATATCAAATTCAATAAACTTATTTCAATTTCAATTTCAATTTCAATGATATCAACTGACATGGAATTTGAAAATCATAATTAGTCTACTACCTTTCCAAAGTGGCAAAATTAATATATAATAGAACATCCAGAAACTATTTAAAGTTGATTTGGGCAGTCTGGAATGTTACTATGGTAGGAGTATCGGTCTTAATGAAGGTCGAGGAATATTAAGGACGACTGCAGGTCCACAACATTGTTCACTGTGATTCCCAGCGTCCATAACACTTTTAATATTGTTTCTTTGCACATGTTTGTTTTATATGATCTTAACACTTTTATATACACTATGCAATCTCCTCCATTAGAATTAACCTAAATTTGTTTTTCCTGTTGAACATCCTTGCCTAACTTTTAATTTGTAGTAGCACCTAGATTTCACTTGAGATTTTCAAAAGCTTTTTTGAATTCGTTGTTCTCCAGGTATTGTCCTTTAGCTTTCCAACGCTTTTTTTCCTTCATTAATTCCCAAATATCACTTCCCTATTTTGCTAGTTGTCTGTGACTGCATTACGACTCCAAGTTTCCTTATCTCCTTCCAGAGCTGTCAACTTACTCTCCACGTTTTCATTGGTCATTCTCAGTCATAATGATTTATGCATGAAATTGTATATTATTCTCAGTTTTAACCAACCTCTTATGAAACCATTCAAATTTGCTTCTTCTGTGGAGAAAACTGAATCGTGGGATTTATTTGCAATAAATTTATTAATTTATAATTTATTTATAATTAATTTATATTAATTTATATTGATTAATAATTAATTTATATTTATTTATATTAATTATTTTTTTACGTTAATTTATTTTTATAGCAGACTGTATGATATTAAAATGGACTATGTTTAATTTTCTCACAAGTAGTTTCCTACACAAGCTGGGGGGGTTATTAATTATAGTCTATCAATCGGAATTATCGATTGGTAAACATTCACTACAAATGTTAAGAAGTGTTAGACTACATAGGTTAGTGAATGAAACTTTAGCCTTATCTGACTAGAAGGCTTCAACTTAGTGGTATGGGTATAGAAAACGTGAGGTGCCGGCCAGACTCGTGATCTGACGAGGTCATGTGCCGGATGGGACAAGATCAGTCACCTGGTCTCCGTCTCGGAGTGATTCCACATTAATAACTTCACGTCTCAATTGACCTGGGGACGAGTTTTACACCGTAATATTTGCTACTCATAAATTATTCAGTTTACATGTATATAGTAATATTCTGAAATGAAGGATGGAATGTTAACCAAACTACACACTAGAAAGTGAAGGGACGGCGACGTTTGGATCCGTCCTGGGTCATTCTCAAGTCGATTGTGAGATCGAAAGTGAGATCGACGATTGTGAGATCACAATCGACTTGAGAATGGTCCAGGATGGACCGAAATGCCGTCGTCCCTTCACTTTCTAGTGTGTGTGGTTTGGTCAACATTTTTCAGCCACGTTATTGTGACTCCTCGTCTGCATACCTAAGGATGGAATTATTGCTCACCCTTGGTTTTTGCTTTGGTTTCAGGCGACATAACCAAACAGTAAATTACACAGTATATAAGAGCTCTTATAACATATTACGTATATTGTACAGATACAATGCATTCCCTGTATATAATTCTCAGAATTAATTCTCAATAATTCGTTTTTACAGTCTCCGTGGTGTAGTGGTAAGATACTCGCCTGGCGTTCCGCGAGCGCTATGTCATGGGTTCGTATCCTGGCCGGGGAGGATTTACTGGGCGCAATTCCTTAACTGTAGCCTCTGTTTAACGCAACAGTAAAATGTGTACTTGGATGAAAAAACGATTCTTCGCGGCGGGGATCGTATTCCAGGGACCATAGGATTAAGGACTTGCCCGAAACGCTACGTGTACTAGTGGCTGTACAAGAATGTAACAACACTTGTATATATCTCAAAAAAAAAATAATAATGGTATCGATTTGTGTTGTCCAACTCTTCGAGAATAATTTGTTAAGTACAATTAATTGAGATGACAACATGACACGTCTGAACAGCTCCGGGTTAAAATGGCTCCTCTCTCTCCTCCCGCATCGCCTGTTCTCCAAATGTTTTTTATCAAGAAGTGGAAAGAGGATTTATACTTAATTTGTTTTAGTATTGATAATTAAGTTCGTTCCAGGGAAATATTTTTATGCTGTTTACAGTCCAGAGACTAATGTTTTAAGATGAATTCACATTATTATTACCTGCTGAATTTAATGGCGACGTGGCAATGATATCCCTTTTTTCTCGAGAGAAAATTCCACTGTAATCCAGTTTTTTTGAATGATTAAAGAATATTCTTTGGTTTAATTTGTTAGCACAAAATAGGCAAAAATATTATCTGCATATTGTATTAAAGGTTAGTAAATGTTGTCATTTTTCCGACGTCTGTTGCATTATTCCTCTGAATTTCTGCAAATGTCATTGTCTCATGGCAGCCGCCATGTTTGGTGCGTTGCTGTTTACGCTTAATTAATTTGGATAGAAATCTTACCTTTTTTATCTTCATTGTTCTTGGAATGGTTTTCTCCTGCACTTTTAACCTAATTTGGGCAGTTAGTTGTTAACACCAACTTTACTGATCTAAATTAGTCATTCCCTTTAAATATTTGTTTAACGATGTGATGTGATACTGTAGTCATACCGAGCCAATGTTATACCTCACGTGCATTAAAAACTAAAAAAAAGCAGCATTGGCCTCTGCAGTGTGAGACGTGGGCAAGCGTTAAAGGGAACTCGGGGTAAAAAATATAACAAATTTACTTCTAAATAAAAAATAAATAACTGAATTACAGCAACACTTATCTAACAACTCCTGGCTGTTACACAGTAGCAAAATAGAAACATGAAAGTTACGCTAATAAATTTATTCAATGAGAACAGGTTGAGTCTTACAAAATATGTACATTTGAAACACCACAACCTGGGCACGAAACAGCTGGGAAGCAATTAGCTTGCAATGTTTTCTCAGGAGCACCCGAGAGTGACTGATTTGTCTTTGGTGGTCAGGGGGAATTTATACCTCTGTTGGTGAGGTCACATCCTGTATCAACGTCGCTTGGAACTAGGCTCCGGCAGGGTAACGAGTGAACCTACAGTGAGCTGATGGTGGTGGCCGGAGGAATGGTGGGGGGGGGGGGGGGGTAGTCAATGTATCAGAACCCGGCTTGAACTCCTGAACACACGTTATGACGGTTTGTAGTTCATGTTGGTGTGGAGTAGGTGTCGTGAGTAGGCTGTAAACGACAAAGGTGAGAGTGAAGAAGCAGTTTACAATGCTATGCAGGGGGAATTATGTAACAGTTTACAATGCTATGCAGGGGAGAATGTGAGTTTCCTTTCAGTTGTTCCTCAGATTCTCTAGCCCTTCACACCTCCTGGGACATCATTCGCAGTCATTAAGTTGCTTCTTCAATACTTGGGCAGCTAATAATTGTATCTGGGGCCACTGCCAGTGAGCCTGTCCCTGGTGTGACTAAATGTATGGGTTTGGTGTAAGAAGGGAACGGCACATAGTACATGCCACCAGTGGGACGAACACTTTACTGACCGGAAACATTTGCTTCACAGAGAGATGCTGGACTTCGGATTCCAGCAGCTAGACATCGCCAATGAGATGGACTCACCGATGCTTCGGGCGGAGGCGTATCTGACTCTGGCTCGAGGCAACGAGCGGCTCGGTAACCTGGAGAAGGCTGTGTCATACTGCCGCCACTCCCTCTATAACCAATGTGACCAGTCCCGCACCACGGGGTACGTCCATCTCACCCTCGGCAACACCTACCTCGTCTACTCCAGCTACAGCAAGGCCATCGAGCACTATGAGCTCGCCCTCAAGGTATCGCGCAGTATTCACGACACGGCGCTTGAGCTCCAGGTCTACTGTGGCCTCGGGCACACATTCTGCCTTTTGCAGGACTATGAGAAGTCCCTCTCCTTCAGTGCCAAGGCGTTCGAGCTTTCTAAAAGTTTTCACATTTGTGACCTCAACTCTAAGTTCCAAAGACTGTCGTTGGTGATGCTAGCGACGCCGCTCAGGAAGTTGGGGCGACTCCATGAAGCCAAGGACTGCTGTCAGGTATGTGTCTCTTCCTGTGTGCTCTAGTGGTAAGATGGCCGTGGCCACCAATGAATAGTTATACATACTGTATTTATTCTGTAATATTTTTATTTTTTAATGTTTTGAAAAATTAACATCTTTATATTATTTACAAAAATCACATGCATGAGGATGGCTTAGTCTCGCTGTACAGTTGGCTTCGTTCTTAATCCACAGTCAGGGTCTTCGAGTGTGTGCGTTTCGTTTCACCTAATGCCTCTGTTCACCTAGCAATAAATAGATACCGGAAAGTTTGTTTTGTACGTGGGGTTGCTGTCCTGAGAAGGTCAGTAGTTCGATGGGGAGGGGGCGGGAGGGGGGAGGGCCTCGATACATGAATTAATTGTGTGTATATAATTGTATGTAAGTTTTCACCTAGTTGTATTCATCTAGTTGTGCTTGCGGGGGTTGAGCTCTGCTCTTTCGGCCTGCCTCTCAACTGTCAATCAATCAACTGTTTCTTTACAGTCTCCGTGGTGTAGTGGTAAGACACTCGCCTGGCGTTCCGCGAGCGCTATGTCATGGGTTCGTATCCTGGCCGGGGAGGATTTACTGGGCGCAATTCCTTAACTGTAGCCTCTGTTTAACGCAACAGTAAAATGTGTACTTGGATGAAAAAACGATTCTTCGCGACAGGGGATCGTATTCCAGGGACCTGCCCGAAACGCTACGCGTACTAGTGGCTGTACAAGAATGTAACAACTCTTGTATATATTTAAAAAAAAACAAAAAAAAACTACTATTTCCTATAGTAGTATATATATATATATATATATATATATATGTGTATATATATATATATATATATATATATATATATATATATATATTTATATATATATTGTGACGGGAAAGTGTTGGAGTGTTGATGTTCGGCAGTCCTCCAATGGAAGGTGTCAAAGCCTGGTCACACTTTAAACAAAAATATAGACTGCTTGCCTGTTGTCTGTGATAAGTTAGAGGGAGGAACACGTAAAACAAAATATGAACAATGAAACTTTAATATATTTACTTTAAACATAAATGAAAATAAAGACAAATCTCGGGAAGTTAAATTACAGTTAAATAATAAAGAAAATGCAAGGACAATGTGAAATACAAAATTACAATGTTAAAATGGTGCTGAGAATATCGGCTATGGCTGAAACCTCCCTTCGTATACGAGCTAATGAGCGAGTATGCCAGAGAGAGGAGTCAACCTTAAGAGCACAAGGAATATTCTGAAGTGGATAGCTGGTCAGGCTCAGACGTCGATTCGTGTAGAGGGCGCCGAGGTGCTGGGTGCAGGTGCGTGGCTGGCGAGTCACCAATCAGAAGCAGGCAAGTTGGTGAAGGGTAGTTAGCTGGTTTGATGACGAGCCGGCGTGGAGGGTGTGTGGAGTAGGGGGCTCTTGAATACGTTTTGCCTCTTGGTCAAAACGTTTTGTGCTACTGGTGACGTATCTTGAATGTAGCATCTTATACTTGTGTCTTGAGACGTAACTTAAAGTAGGGAAGAGCAGGCTCAATCTCTCTTGAAAGAGATTATCGTTACAACTCCCCCCCGAAGCCTGCGGTTCCGGTGAAGTTACGTCTTCAGGAGGTAGAGTGGTAGGAGGAGCAGCCTCTACCTCATTGACTCTGGAGAGGGCGTCTGCTATGATGATGTCAGACCCCTTGATGTAGAGATCTCCAGGTTGAAAGTCTGCAGATATCAAGCCCATTGTAGAAGCCGTCGATTGTTGAATTGGGCTTGCTGCAGGAAGTGTAGGGTGTTGTGGTCTGCGTAGATGGTGGTAGACCGAGCACTTTTCAGGTATGGTTCGAAGTGCTGAAAGTGCAGGACGATGAGTAGCTCCCTGTCGATTGTGCGGTGGTTCCTTGTAGCTGTAGTCGCTAACAGGTAGATTCTCCTCGCCTCGTTGTTGCATTAGGTCACCCTCGATGCCGGTACCACTGGCGTCGACATGGAGGATGAAAGGCTTCGTGATATCTGGCGAGATGAGAATAGGATTAGAACATGGCAAAGGAGCACTATTATAGTCCTGTAAATTGGGATGAAGATAAGGTAGGATTTCCGATTTGGAAAGCACCAATTTAGTGTTAATGCTTTCGGGAGAAGCAGGGAAGGTTTCACTGTGGAGGTATGGACCTTTAGATGTAGAGACAGATGTCAGCACAGTAGGGGGAATACCTTGATACTGCTTCAGGAGGTTGACGTGGCACAACTGGGTCCTCCGCCGCCTATCTGGAGTCTCAAGAACGTAGTTGTTCCTGCACTCCTTGATACGGTAGGGTCCTGAAAACTGGTTTTTCAATGGAGAACCTGGGATAGGAAAGTATGCCAGTACGAAGTCTCCTGGTTTAAATTTCCTTAATTTGCTGCTCTGGTCAAAATGAGTCTTCATCCTCTCCTGGGCTTTCACTAGGTTGTCATTAGCAAATTTATGTACTCTCTAGAATGTGTTTTAGGTTTTGAAGAAACCGAGGCACATTCTGATGGTCATTGAAGGTGGCATTACGTAGAGAGTCCTTGAAAGCTTTGAGAGGAGTACGGCACTTACGTCCGTAGAGCATCTCATAAGGAGATACTCCTAGTGACTCATTGGGGAGACTTCGAAAAATGCACATTATGAGATCAAGTTGTCTATCCCAGTCCTTCAAAGTCTCATTGCAGAATTTCTTTAGGAGTGCTTTAATTGTCTGATGACTACGTTCAAGAGAACCCTGTGAAGCAGGATGATAGGGGCTGGACAGTACCTGTGTGATGTTGAACTTCTCCAGAGTCTTCTTGAAGAGATCACTGGTGAAGTTGGTGCCACAGTCACTTTGAACCTCTCTTGGAAATCCATACTGGGTGAAGATCTTCAATAGGCGTTTCACCACTGTAGCAGCCGTAATGTTCTTTACTGGAACTGCTATGGGAAACCTGGTGGTAGGACACATGATAGTTATTATATATGCGTTGCCAGAACTGGTCCGGGGTCAAGGACCAACACAGTCAATGATGAGTCTGGAAAGGTTCCGCAGGCACCTGGATGGGTTTCAGAGGAGCCTGGGGAATAGAGATGTTAGGTTTACCTGCCATCTGACATATATGACATTCTTTTACGTATTTCTTTACGTCTTTTACCATACCTGGCCAGTAGTAGTCTTGTCTGATTCCGTGGGAGGTTTTGTTGAAGCCATAGTGAGAGAGCTCCGTGGGCCAGGTGTAGAATATCGGGCCGTATGATACCTGGTTGATACCTGGTTGATGGGGTTCTGGGAGTTCTTCTACTCCCCAAGCCCGGCCCGAGGCCAGGCTTGACTTGTGAGAGTTTGGTCCACCAGGCTGTTGCTTGGAGCGGCCCGCAGGCCCACATACCCACCACAGCCCGGTTGGACCGGCACTCCTTGGAGGAATAAATCTAGTTTCCTCTTGAAAATGTCCACGGTTGTTCCGGCAATATTTCTTATGCTTGCTGGGAGGACGTTGAACAACCGCGGACCTCTGATGTTTATACAGTGTTCTCTGATTGTGCCTATGGCACCTCTGCTCTTCACTGGTTCTATTCTACATTTTCTTCCATATCGTTCACTCCAGTACGTTGTTATTTTACTGTGTAGATTTGGTACTTGGCCCTCCAGTATCTTCCAGGTGTATATTATTTGATATCTCTCGTCTTCTTTCTAGTGAGTACATTTGGAGGGCTTTGAGACGATCCCAATAATTTAGGTGCTTTATTGCGTCTATGCGTGCCGTATATGTTCTCTGTATTCCCTCTATTTCAGCAATCTCTCCTGCTCTGAAGGAGGAAGTGAGTACTGAGCAGTACTCAAGACGGGACTATGAAAGTATGAAACTATGAAACTCAAACTAGAACTTGCTAAGCTCGAGAGAGAGCAACAACAATGCTGGTAGGAATCACTAGTTGTTTGACATTGGCCCAATCCTCATCCTCCTTCAGCTTGCTGGGTCTGTATCTGCGGTAGAGCAATTCATTCTCTAGGAAGAACCCAGGGATACTGTCAGGTTGAGTCTCAGCCTGGAAGAATAATGGTGTTAATGATTGATCTTCCCTCTGTAACTTACGGAACTCCAACTTGGTAAGATTTGGAGGTAGATTCTGAGGGTCTTGAGGGACAGCGGTAGTAGTAGAGTGAGCTGGTTGCGGCCGTGCAGCTTGTGCTCGGGTGGTCACCAAAACCGGAGGAGAAACTTTATCACTCTTGAACCTCTGCTGGAACATATTCAAAGATGGGATTATCCATTACAGAAGTACACACCTGGGGTTTGTCCGTGATGATCAGGTTGGACGGTTGCAGATCTTCTGCCAAGTCGTTGCCAAGGAGAAGTTGCACTCCAGGCATGGGAAAAGGTTTTTCCGTGATGGCGACTTGGACTTCACCGGTCACGAAGGGACAATCCAGGTGGACTCTGGCAAGTGGATATGGAGTGGTAGCAGTGAGGTCAGTGATAAGGACTGTTTCCCCGGTGTAGGCGACGTTATTCACAGCCGATTTCAACATAATGGACTGAAGAGCCGCTGTGTCCCTCAAGATCTTCAATTTGAAACTTCCCTCCGAATCTGTACCGTTGGTAGAGACAGTTCCAGGATACAGGTGTTTACTGAAGAGAGAAAGATCATTAACATTAACACCAACATTCATCACAGGCTTACCGGACTTAGGAGGAGTCTGTTTGGGTTTAGTAGATTCATTGCTCTTGTATTGAGCCTTCACACATCTATCTATAGTATGTCCATAGAGTTTGCAATACAATTGTGAGCTCGCTTCCTCTGTACTCACTTTATTGTTGTACCAAGACTTCTTACTGGGAGGTGGTGATGGTGTCAGCCGGTGGATGAGGCTGTAGGTGTCAGCCGACTTCGCACATCTGATGTAGTCGGTTTCTTCTTTATCTGCTAGATATAAACGGACGGAAGGGGGAACACGTCTCAAGAATTCCTTAACTAGCATGAGGTTGATGAGTTCTGCAAATGTAGAGACATGTGCTG